ATAACAAAATCGACTTTGAAAAGGTAATTTCATATTAAAATATAATTTTTTATAATTACATAGGTTGTATAAGACATACATCTAAAATACAAAACTGTGCTCTGCATCCTGGACAAGTACATTTAGAAGATAACCATGTTTCAGGTGCAGCTTCATCTTGTCTAGATGCAAACCTATAACAACATATTCTTAATTAACATATACTAACAGTAACATTAATTATTATATAGATAAAATATTAACCATTTAGCCATACAGTCTATGCACCACATTGGACGGCAAGAACATACCATACAGTCTGCAGGATTTCCATTTCCTATATCATTGCTACATAGTTTATATAATTTTACGTTTGATAAAGCTTGCATACATCCTATACATTGGCTTACTTCCTTTAAATATTTTTATATGATTATTAATTCAGTAAATAAAGTAGAATTCTAAATTTACATAAAATGAAATACCTCTGTATATTCATAATATGGATTTTCTTGTACTTGCTCTTTAAAACTATCAATAAATTTTTCAAGTAAAGTTTTATGAAATGTGATGTTTTGTAATATAGTGATAGGTCGTGAAATTTTGTCTTGTAAATTTTTAAAATCCAATGCATTTAATCTTATATCAAAAGGCTGTGAACCTATTCTTGTAGATTTTACCTATTTAAAAATGCATTTCTAATTAATAGAAAGACAAAATTTATTTAAAACAATCTTTTATTTAACATGCAAAGTTTCACATGTTAAAAAAAGTTCTGCTTTTCCTTTATGTTTGATAGGAAGCATAAAGTTAAGTATGAAGTTAAACAGTTCTCCATATTACCAAATAAATATTTAAAAAACGCAATTTCTGTGTAAAATGTAAAAAAGACATATCTATGTAACTAGTTCCAAAGATGAAAATTCATTTAAATAAGCAAAATATGATGCTAACTAATATTGTGACAATAAAGTACATATGATAACAATAAAGTCATAAATTATCAAATATTGCAATAAGAAAGTAGATATTATGACAAGTAAAATAAAGTGAAGAAAATTTCTTGGATTAATAAGTTATTTTTCAAGGAGATTACTTTAAAATACAATTACATTTTATAAAATATATTTTAGTACTGATAAATTAAGTTGATATAAAATATACCTCAATATTAATAAATTGAACTTCTCCTCTTGTCATAGGTGACATTTCATGAGTATCACTTCTGTTAACTATTAAAATGGCATCATTCTGATGGGCAATCATTATTTTGTAAGGTAAAACTTTAATTATCCAATTATCTGTAGCTATTATACATATTATACTGTTTGTGGTAATTATTGTTTTATCTATTCTTAATTTAAATTATTTTGTTA